CAGGTTAGTCTCAAACTCTTGACCTCAAGCAATCCACCGGCCTTGGCCTCCCCAAGTGCTAGAATTACAGGCGTGAGCCACCGTGCCTGGCTGCCCATTTTTCAATTGGATTTTTTGTTTTCTTGCTACTGAGTTGTTTGAGCTTTGTATACATTTTGGATATTAACCCCTTTTCAGATGTACAGTTTGCAAGTATCTTCTCCAAATTCCTAGGAATTAAAAAATGGGCAAGGGACATGAACAGATGTTTTTCAAAAGACCGACAAATGGCCAACAGATATAGCTGGCCAACATATTCACAATCACTAGAGAAATGCAAATTAAAACCACAATTATGTATCATCTCACACCTGTCAGAATGACTGTTATCAAAGAAAGACAAATGTTTGTGAGAATGTGGAGCTAAGGGAGCCATTATGCACTGTGGGAATGTAAATTAGTACAGCCATGATGGAAAACAGTACAGAAATTCCTTTAAAAACTACAAGTAGGCTGGGCATGGTGGCTCATGTCTGTAATCCTAGCACTTTGGGAGGCTGAGGCAGGTGGATCACGAGGTCAGGAGTTCAAGACCAGCCTGACCAACATGGTGAAACCCTATCTCTACTAAAAATACAAAAAATTAGCCAGGTGTAGTGGCGTGCACCTGTAATTCAGCTACTCGGAAGGCTGAGGCAGGAGATCGCCTGAACCTGTGCGACAGAGCGAGATTGTCTCCCAAAGAAAAAAAAAAGAAAGAAAGAAAAAACTAGAAATGGAATGATCCAGCAATCCCACTACTGAATATATAACACCCCCAAATTGAAATCAGATTGTCAAAGAGATGTCTGTACCCCCATGTTTACTGCAGCACTATTTGCAACAACATGGACAGACGCAACGAACATTATACTAAGAGAAATAAGCCAGGCACAGAAGCACAACATAGGATTCCACTTTTGTATGGAATCTAAAAGACAATGGAACTCACTGCAGCAGAGAGCAGAACTATGGTTACAGAAGTGGGGGTTGGGGAACAGGGAGATGATGGTCAAAGGGTACAAAGTCCATTAGAGAAAAAGGAACATATTTTTTATGAGTTATACTGCACAGTGTGGTAAATATAGTTAATACAGTTATTTTGGGGTGGCTCACACCTTTAAACCCAGCATTCTGGGAGGCCGAGACGGGAGGATCACTTGATCCCAGGACTGCGAGACCAGCCTGAGCAACAAAGTGAGACTCTGCCTCTACAAAAAATCAAAAAATTAGCCAGGTGTGGTGGTGCACATCTGTGCTCCCAGCCACTCAGGAGACTGAGGCAGGAGTATCACTTGAGCACAGGAGGAGGAGGGCGCAGTGAGCCATGATCACCCATAGCACTCCAGCCAGGACAAGAGAGCAAGACTCTGTCCCGTCATAATTATTATTATTATTACTGTTTTGTTTTTTTTTTTAGTAGAGACGGGGTTTCACCGTGTGAGCCAGGATGGTCTCGATCTCCTGACCTCGTGATCCGCCCACCTCGGCCTCCCCAAGTGCTGGGATTACAGGCGTGAGCCACCGCGCCCAGCCATAATTATTTTTTTTAATTAAAAAATAAGGCTGGAGCCAGTGGCTCACGCCTGTAATCCCAGCACTTTGAGAGGCCGAGGCAGGTGGATCACGAGGTCAGGAGTTCAAGACCAGCCTGACCAACATTGCGAAACCCAGTTTCTACTAAAATACAAAAAAATTAGCTGGTTGTGGTGGTGTGTGCCTGTAGTCCCAGCTACTCGGGAGGCTGAGGCAGGAGAATGGCTTGAACCCGGGAGGCGGAGGTTGCAGTGAGCCGAGATCACGCCACTGCACTCCAGCCTGGGCAACAAAGCAAGACAAGACTCCGTCTCAAAAAAAATAATAATAAAATAAAATAAAGTCTAAGGCTGAGGCCAGTGAGGTCCTGAGATTAGTCATAAAATCTAGAGCAATTATATGGCATCCTGTATGAATGGCTTCAAAGGATCTTCAGGACTGGGCAAGAGAAACACACCATTTCTGTGACGTGGACCAGATGCCATTAAAAACCCTCTGGAGAGGACTGAAGGGCTTGCCATTTATCCTTTGGCTGTAGCCAGAGCACAGACCAGACTAGAGTTGTGCTCCTGCAAACTAAACACAGGCACTGAAACAATTCACAGACGTCAAATTTAATTTCCTGATTGTCAATACCAGATAGGAATGACAATCAGCATCTTTTTCATTGTTCTTAATAAAATAAGTTAAGCATTGTTTTATGCCACCGGCCTTTTACAGAACAAGACAAACCCATCAAATGAAAACAATTATTTAGAAACCAAAGGCCAGGCCTGGCGGCTCACACCTGTAATCCCAGCACTTTGGGAGGCTGAGGCGGGTGGATCACTTGAGGTCAAGAGTTTGAGACCAGCCTAGCCAACATGGTGAAACCCTGTCTCCATTAAAAATACAAAAATTAGCCGGGTGTGGCAGCATGCACCTGTAGTCCCAGCTACTTAGGAGGCTGAGGAATCGCTTGAACCCAGAAGGTGGAGGTTGCCTCACTGCACTCCAGCCGGGGCAACACAGCAAGACTCCATCTCAAAAAAAAACAAAAACAAACAAAACAAACAAAAACCCAGAAATCTACCAGGAGCTGGACTGGATAGCTTATGCTTATCTTTCTTAGAAAAGCATTTAACCCTTAACTAGCTGCCTCTGACAATATTTCTAGGCACTGACTGCCCACCTACCCAGCCTGGGTGCTTGTCCACCAACTGGCCCTAGTTTTTTCATTTCCCAGCTAATTCTGAATGGCCCAAATCCTCCCGATCTTTCTAGGTCCACCTCAAAAGTTATTTCATGAGTTTTGGGCCAAGCGAGGTGGCTCACGCCTATAATCCCAGCACTTTGGGAGGCCAAGGCGGGCGAATCACCTGAGGTCAGGAGTTCAAGACCAGCCTGGCCAACACAGTGAAACCTCGTCTCTACCAAAAATACAAAAAATTAGCCGGGCATGGTGGCGGGCGTCTATAATCCCAGCTACTCAGGTGGCTGAGGCAGACAAATCGCTTGAACCTGAGGGGCAGAGGTTGCAGTGAGCTAACTTCACGCCACTGCACTCCAGCCTGGGCAACAAAGCAAGACTCGGCCTCAAGAAAAAAAGAAAGTTTCTGATCCTAACCATAACAAAATCCCTAACATTTGGTATACCACTATGGCAATTCAGTCCTGCCACATTTTCTAGCCTATTGCTTCCTCTAAGTACATTCCTTGCAGGCAGAAACTATTACTATATTTGCACTTAGGCCAGGTGCGGTGGTTCAAGCCTGTAATCCCAGCACTTTGGGAGGCCGAGGTGGATGGATCACCTGAGGTCAGGAGTTCAAGATCAGCCTTTTTAGTAGAGACATGGTGAAACCTTGTCTCTACTAAAAATACAAAAATTAGCTGGGCATGGTGGCGGGCGCCTGTAATCCCAGCTACTAGGAAGGCTGAGGCAGGAGAATTGCTTGGACCTGGGAGGCGGAGGTTGCAGTGAGCAGAGATTGCACCACTGCACTCCAGCCTGGGCGAAAAGAGCAAGACTGTCTCAAAATAAAAAAAAAATTATATATATATATATATTGCACTTAGCTCCACCTTTCCTTCTTGCACCAGATGCATCTAGAGCCTAAACACAGAAGGTGCCTGTCAACCAGCGTTTGGTGATTTCAGTATTGAGACTTCGGTGCTAGCAGTGATTCCAGTCCACCTGATTCAGGCCACAGGAATTCTCCCAGAATCTTCACTACAAGTTGAAACTCCGCATCCTTACTCTTAGAGAGTAAATGCTCTTGGGGTCAATGTACACGTAAGTATAACTGAGGTGCGCGACAGGTCTACTTCCTGTCAGAACCGCTAGATGAAAAGAGGAAGTAGGTGGACACCCTTATCGGTCAAGTGTTGATGGAACATTCATCTACAAATGAGATACACATGCTCAGACCCTATGCTGACCCAAGCTGACGGTGCTATCGAGACAAACCACTTTATCACATATTCATCACCAGCCTCGGAGTTTTTCTTCCCACTCTCTCCCATAGCGGCTCACCTTTGAGGCAAGAAAGGAGCAGTTCAGGGGGAAGCCACAATCCTTACACAGCAGGCTTCAAAGAAGCTCACCATTCATCAGCCAGTGAGGGCTGTCCTCTGCTAGTTGAGAACCAAATTCAGACATTAGAATCTTCCACAAAGGCCTCCTCACCAGCTGTCCAATGGGTACGGCGTTCACACCACTCAAAACAGCACCACAGGCCTGGTTTTATTACTGATGGTCCCCATCACAGGAACTGAAACTACATGCCTCTAGATTACCTTGCGATCACTCCTCATTTTATTAAAAACATGAATAAAGAATCCACCCCATTCTGGATATTTACCAAGCTTGACACAGGGAGCACCACTATGCCATTTAACTTTGCGCACATACGTGACTCTCTCCCTCCCACCTTTCCGAGATGTGTTTCACTGGCAAACGGAGAAGAAATACAAACACTCCCCAAAGTCGAAAAATGGCAAACGACCAAAATGTTTCGCGTGTCAAATTCGAATTATCCAGGCCTCGGCTCCCGACGTGGGAAGTCCCGCCATCTCCAAGGCCGGCAGGGAACCCTGGCTCGGGGAACGCGGCTGGGCCAACCCCAGTGTGGGGGTACCAGGCCGAGGTCGGCCGACGCTGGGCGACTCCCGCCAGCAACTGGGTCGGGGGCCGCATCCCGAGAAGCGGGGAAAGAAGCCGGCGGAGAAGCCGCTCCCGACCAGCACGACCCCCGCTCCCGGCCCCGCGGGCAGCCCCGACTGGGTCCGACCCCCGCCCGCCCTCCAGCCCCGGCTTACCCCGCCCCGGCGGGCAGCTGCGCGCCCCGGGCCCAGCCGGGCCAGCTGCTCGGCGGACGCCCGCGGCCGCGCTGGGCTCACTCGTGGCGGCGCGTGGCGGGCCCGGGGCCGCTCGGCACCATCTTCTCCGCCGCGCCGGGGACAGCGTCCGGCTCCGCGGGGCCGACGCGAGGACCAGACGCCAACCGGGCTCCCGCCGCCGCCTCAGCTCGGGCTCCGACAGCCGCGGTTTCCGGGTGAAAAAAAAAAAAAAACACACACGCCACCTCCAACGCCGCCGTGACCTCCGACCCCGGGCGTCCGACGGCGGCGCGGCCGGGACAAGCTTCGTCAGAAGCAGGCGGCGGAGACCAAGCTTCTGGGATGGGTCGCGTGCATGCGGACGTGCGTGGAGTGCGTGATGGACGTTTATGAGACTGTGTGCGGGTCTGGTGTTGTGCGCGTGCGTGTGTACGTAGTGCGTATATGTGGCTTGTAGTCAGTGTGCATCGTGTACAACGGTGTGTGCGGTGCATGTGCGTCTGTGTGCGCGTGTGTGGTGTGTGATGGGTGTGAGTGTGGGTGTGTGCATGCGTAGATGTGTAGGGAGTGCGCACACGTTAGTGTGTGCATGCTCATGTGTGTGCTGTGCGTGTGTCTGTTGATGTGCTTGTATATTAATCACTGCTGAGAAACATAATTTTGGACCAGGAGCGGTGGCTCACGCCTGTAATCCCAGCACTTTGGGAGGCCAAGGCAGGAGGATCGCTTGACTCCTGGAGTTCCAGCACCAGCCTGGGTAACATAGGGAGACTCTGTCTCTATTTATAAATAAAATAAAATGAAAATGAAAATTTTAAAACTATAATTTTGTGCAATCACTTTGCAAAATAATTTGGTATTATGCACGCAGTACACTTAAAGATATACACATCCTCTCTTGAGAATATATTACCCTGGAGAAACAGTTGCACCTATGCACAAGTAGACAAAATAATGCTCATAGCAGCACTAATGTTTATAGCAGCAGTATGGCTCACTAAAAATTGGGGAGAAAAAGCAGATGTCCATACAGTCAAATGTAAAAATCAACTTTGACATATTCATGGTTTGGTTTGTTTTTGTAGAGACAGGGTCTCCCTATGTTACTCAAGCTGGTCTCAAACTACTCGGCCCAAGTGACCCTCCTACCTCAGCCTCCCAAAGTTCTGGGATTACAGGTGTGAGCTGCCACGCCTGGCCCATCTTCATGTTTAATCAGATACAAAAGACCAGTGAAAATTATTTAATACAGCTCACACAATTATGGTAGTCAATTTCAGAATATATTGGCAGGGAACAAATCACAAAATGGTACACTGCTACGTTTCCATTATATAAAATTCAAAACAGGCAAGTTAATCAACATATTGTTTAGAGATGCATACATAATTGGTTGAACTGACATGAAGCACGAGAAAAAGATACATAAACTTCATGTTAAGTGTTAGGGGAATGGGATGGGGGAGGAGCACAGGGCACTTTAAAGGTAAACAAAGTTTTGTTGTTACTTTTGAGACAAGGTCTTGCTCTGTCACCCAAACTGGAGTGCAGTAGCATGATCATGGCTCAGTCCAGCCTTGGCCTCCCAAGCTGAACTGATCCTCCTGTCTCAGCCTCCTGAGTAGCTGGGACCACAGATGTGCACCACCGTGCCCAGCTAATTTTCGTGTTTTTCATAGAAATGGGGTTTCCCCCAAATTGCCCAGGCTGGTCTCAAACTCCTGAGCACAAGTGATCCGCTCACTCCCACCTCCCAAAGTGCTGGGATTACAGGCATGAGCCACCACACCAGCCATCTTTAACAGAAGTTTATCAGGTAAAGCCTGTAATGATCAACACAATGGCTCAGTTCCTTCACGGAATACCTTCTTATTTCCATGATTCTTGCCCTCTTTTGTTATCTTGCACCATTTGAATTATCTTCCTTGTTGTAATGGGTGTCACATTATCTGCAAGTGCAGGCAGTATTGAATTCTGTACATAACGATGGAACCAAACTCCCTAAGAAGATGTCCCTTACCAGGCTATGACTGAATGTAATTAAAGGAGCCCCACCACCAATGGCACCATATATGGCTTAGTGATTGAGACCGTAGGAGAATGTAAAAAAGCAACCTCAACTCTTTTATCCTAGCTGCCTTGTATGGGATTTTAAAAAATTTTTTGTTTTTGTTTTGAGATGGAGTCTCGCTCTGTCACCCAGGCTGGAGTACAGTGGCGCGATCTCGGCTCACTGCAACCTCTGCCTCCCGGGTTCAAGGGATTCTCCTGCCTCAGCCTCCCGAGTAGCTGGGATTACAGGTGCATGACGCCACATGCCTGCTAATTTTTGTATTTTTAGTACAGAAGGTGTTTTGCCACATTGGTCAGGCTGATCATGAACTCCTGGCCTCAAGTGATCCACCCACCTTGGCCTCCCAAACTGTTGGGATTACAGGCGTGAGCCCGAGTCCAGTAAAAAAATAATAAAAAAATAAAAAAAGCTTTTTAATACAGACAAGGTCTCTCACTGTGTTGCCCAGGCTGGTTTTGAGCTTCTGGCCTCAAGCAATCCTCCTTACTCAGTTTCCCAAAGTGCTGGGATTATAGGTGTGAGCTACCGTGTCCAGCTGGATTGTAAAATTCTTTTTTTTAAAAAAAAAGATTACATGGTGCAGCCACTTTTAAACAACAATCTGGCAATTTCTCAAAAAGTTAAACATAGAGTTACCATTTGAAGCCAGGCATGGTGGCTTGCACCTGTAATCCCAACACTTTGGGAGGCTGAGGCAGGAGGATCACTTGAGCCCAGGAGTTCAAGACCAGCCTGGCCAACATGGTAAAACCCTGTCTCTACTAAAAAATAAAAATACAAAAATTAGCTGGGCATGGTGGTGGGCACCTGTAATCCTAGCTACTTGGGAAGCTGAGGCAGGAGAATCACTTGAACCTGGGAGGCAGAGGTTGCAGTGAGCTAAGACTGCGCCACTGCACACCAGCCTGGGCAACAGAGTGAGACTCCGTCTCAAAAAAAAAAAACCAGCCTGGAAAACATAGCAAACCCCATCTCCAATAAACAAACAAACAAGTTCTAAGAGATACAGCTTTATATAAAAAAAAAAAAAAGTTACTGGCCACGTGTGGTGGCTCATGCCTGTAATCCCAGCATTTTGGGAGCCCAAGGTGGGTGGATCACTTGAGGTCAGGAGTTTGAGGTCAGGAGTTTGAGACCAGCCTTGCCAACATGGTGAAACCCCGTCTGTACTAAAAATACAAAAAATTAGCCGGATGTGGTGGCGGGTGCCTGTAATCCCAGCAACTTGGGAGGCTGAGATGGGAGAGTGGCTTGAGCCCAGGAAGCAGAGGTTGCAGTGAGCCAAGATCACACCACTGCACTTCAGCCTGGGAGACAGAGCCAGACCTTGTCACAAAAAAAAAAAAAAAAAAGGTTACCATTTGACCTCACAATTCCACTCCTGGAGAGCCAAGAGAATTGCAAACAAAAATTCCAAACAAAAAGTTGTACGGGAGTGTTCATAGCAGCATCATAATACCCAAAAAGTGGAAGCAACTCAAATGTTCATCAACTGATTAATGGATAAACAAAATGTGGCAAATTCACACAGCAGAATGGTATTCAGCCATGAAAAGGAATGAAGAAATAATGCATACTACAGCATAGATGAATGTTGAACATATTATGCCAACTAAAAGAAGACAGTCACAAAAGGCCCTGTATTGGATGACTGCATGTCTATGAAAGTCCAGAATAGACACATCTATGGAACAGAAAGATTAGTGGTTGGGTTGCCTAGGGTGGGTGAGAGGCAATTGGGAAGTGGTGAAAATATTCAAAAACAGGCCGGGCGCCGTGGCTCACACCTGTAATCCCACCACTTTGCGATGACACTTGAGGTCAGGAGTTTGACACCAGCCTGGCCAACATGGTAAAACTCCATCTGTATTAAAAATACAAAAATTAGCTGGGCATGGTGGTGCATGCCTGTAATCCCAGTTACTCGAGATTAACTGGGAGGCATGAGAATCGCTTGAACCCAGGAGCCAGAGGTTGCAGTGAGCCAAGTTCATGCCATTGCACTCCTGCCTCGGCGACAGAGCAAGAGTCTGTCTCAAGAAAAAAAAAATTGTGATGATGGTTGCCCAATTCTGTGATTAAACTAAAAACCACTGAAGTGTACACTTTTAATTGAGTTAATTTTATGTAGGTTAATTAGATCTAAACAAAACTTTTTTTTTTTAAGGTTAAGGCTTTACAAAAGAAACAAAACCAAAACAAAAAAAGGGATAAAAACATGGGCTCTAATCATGTGGAAATCTTTAGACAGTTAATTTTTTAATGGCATGAAAAAGAAGGAAATTGACAAAGAGCCAACAAAATCTTGAGATAATTTTCTAGGAATCTGGGGTTCCCACCATGAAGTCTCCTCAAACTCCTTAGCATATACAGTTCCGAGGCTTAGAGAAATTTCAGAAAATTCTTCCGATGAACCTACAGCATTGAATGCCAAAATACCCACATTTTTTTGTTTGTGCATTTTGAGACAGGGTCTTGTTCTCTTGCCCAGGCTGGAGTGCAGTGGCACAATCATAGCTCAGTGAAGCCTCAACCTCTCAGGTTCAAGCAATCCTCCTGTCTCAGCCTCCCAAGTAGCTAGGACTACAGATGCGTACCACCACTTCCAGCTAATGTCTTTATTTTATGCTTTGTAGAAACAGTGTCCATTGCCGGGCGCGGTGGCTCAAGCCTGTAATCCCAGCACTTTGGGAGGCCGAGACGGGCGGATCATGAGGTCAGGAGATCGAGACCATCCTGGCTAATACGGTGAAACCCCGTCTCTACTAAAAAATACAAAAAACTAGCCGGGCGAAGTGGCGGGTGCCTGTAGTCCCAGCTACTCAGGAGGCTGAGGCAGGAGAATGGCGTGAACCCGAGAGGAGGAGCTTGCAGTGAGCTGAGATCCGGCCACTGCACTCCAGCCTGGGTGACAGAGCAAGACTCCGTCTCAAAAAAAAAAAAAAAGAAAAAGAAACAGTGTCCATTGCCCAGGCTGGTCTCAAACTCCCAGGCTCAAGCAATCCTCCCACCTCAGCCTCCCAAAATGCTGGGATTACAGGTGTGAGCCATCGCATCACGCCCCCACTTTTAATATTAAGTCAGTAGTCCCTTGTCCCATACTTGCAAATTTCTCTTTAACATTGAGATGGTTTGAAAATTAGAAAATAAGG